AATCAATCAACCGAATTTCCATTGCAGAACAGCTATTACTGGAAATGGCACGTTTCCGGAGAACCCAAGTGCCTGGAAAGCTGGCTCAGAACTCCAGCTGTAATTCCTGTCTGATTCGAAGACCTGCTCTGGCCCTGCAGCATCTCTCAGCATTGGTTCCTGACACTGCCTCAGGACAGCCACCAAATTCTAACCTAACCCCTGCGGCTTCCCCAGACTTCCGCAGGGGGATGTGCACGCTTGCCATACCGGAAAAAAGCAGGTCTGACATTAAGGAATCAAGACCTCTGCCTTGCACCACCAAAGTCGGTTTTGGAGACTACCGAGCTTGGTGGATTGAAGAGGCAACCTTCTGTGATGAAGGCTGTTCCTTTTTTTTATCCTCACAGCTGTCTTCTTCACACCTTTAGTGGAAGAGCCAACTGCTACTGAAACCCAAGCATGACACTCCCAGAAGTTTTATCCATCTCCTACGCTAGAAGGAGCCTCTGTGACCACTTTCCCTGAATTCCTCGGACACTATTAGCCATACAGGCCAAGCGGGTCAGGCCCTGGACGCAGTACACTATGCACTATTCCTTACCCAAACAGATAAAAACTCACAAGTTTGAGGGAGTATCTTTGCTTTTGAGGACAGGTTCCAGATGCTGACTGTGCTGTGGAAGGATGGAACAGATGTGGTTACAGGAGCACGGAAAAGAGGTACTTGCAGTGTCAGCTGCATCATTACACACAGCCTATGCAGCTGGCTTCTACTTATTCTCTTCTTCTTGCACTTGGTCTTTCAAAAGCATCCTCTGCGACACCGTGGTCCCAGATTACTACAAAATAATTCTTACCTTGCTCCAGAAGCACAGCACCCCTGACATGCTTCGAGTGCAGTTCTGCTTAAGTCACAGAAGCATCTAGGCATGGCTACAGTAGTGGGGTGCTTTGAAGACGGTACGTAAAGAACAAGTCATTAGCAGAATCTGAAAGGCACCCCCAAACTCAGTTGCTGAGCATTCCCTACAGCTCACTTCACAGCTTGCCAACTCTGTAAGAGACGCCAAAGTCCCTTCTGCTCTGCATGGATGTTGGAGATATACGTGGCCTTCCTCCTCCAAAAAGATCTGCAACCGTTACTTGCCCTTGGGGTAGTTCCTCTGCTCCTGCTGTTAGGCTGAGGGCTGCACCCAGGTTACGTGCTGCTTGTCACCCAAAAGGTGTTTCTATAAAGGCACCCTTTGTTATACTAACACCACCAACAGTGATCTTCTCTTTTCTCTAACGTCACATCTTTTTAAAGACACAGGTGGATGCTCAGACTTTGTTCTACAACAGCGTAAGTAATGACAAAGAAACTAAAGCCGAATACTGGGCAAAACTTACTAATGGAGAAAATTCCTAGTGAAGAGTGTTTCCAAGTTAACAAGGGCGAATAAGATCTATTTTTTTTCCTTTGGAAGTTTATAGCTAGACTGGAGAGAAAAAGATCAGCAGTCACTAAACAGCTGACGAGCAGCCCAGATGACATAGCTGGTTTCTTCTGGCCCTCAGAACAGGCTAAGAATCCTGAAGTGACATTTCGTCCATACTGACACTACCCACAACACAGCAACTCCTGTACGGTGCTGGCAGCACGTGGGGCCCGATCCTAAAAACCAGAAAGAGGAAGCACGGCCCCTCATTTTGTCAATTAACAGAGCAGCCCAGCCCACGCTAAGGCCCTCGTTGGGATGCCCAGCGTGGGAACGCCAGACCCTGCAGGCCAGCGGGTCGCTGCCTTCCCAGGGGACACCCGCAGGGTGTCATCACCCCCCGCACCGCCTGTTCCCGGGTTTAGGGAACA